AGATAAGAGAAGTCAGTTAAAATAAACATAGAAATAAAACCAGTGACTCTTCAAGATAAGGCACATGTAGACCAAAAAATGAAGCCAAAAAAGTTCTTGATATAGAAAAAAAGGGGAAACATCTATAATAATAAAAGTGTAACATGCCAATTAGACTGGATGTCCTTCTGGATGAAGCTGGGGCTGTGAGGGAAGCCCGGATCCCGGGTACCAGAGGGGAGCTGCTGCCGGCAGCCAGGGGAAGGAAGGCCTACTCTTGCACAAATTTTGTGCATCGGGCCTCTAGTTTAATAATAAAAAACAAAGCACAGTAGGTGAGAATCAAATGTATGACCTTCTTTGAAGCCATCCAATAAGTAATAGTATATATATATTGTTCAAAGAGAAGGTAAAAAAAAAAGTAGTAACTTCCCTGAATAATTTTAAAAGGGGAAGATAGAATATAAAAAGTAACCAGTGACCTTATAATTAAATCTAAATCATCACTGAAACAGTAGTGGTAAAGTTGAAAGGGATGGTTAGAGAAAAACAGAAGTAATGTACAAAGGAAATAAAATCAATAGAGCCAAGAATGAGGGAAGCCAAGGAGTCAAGGTTTCACCTTATTAAATGGAGATGTGAGAGTAACAGAAAGTCAATTATACATGTTCTAGATTTGAAAACTTGCAGGGGAGAAAAAAAGTAAATATGAATAAGTTAAAATCTCCTATTAAAAGATAAACGCTTTCGCACAAGGGGTCCCTGTGATAGAACGGCTCTGTATTCTGGCTTTGGGAGTCACAAGATCTACATAAAACTGCTGAAGACCAAACACATGTGTGCATATAAACTGATGAAATCTGAGTATCGTCTGTCAATTGTATCTGTATCAATTTCCTAGGGTATAATATGCTATAGTTTTATGCAAGATGTTACCATTGGAGGAAACTGGATGAAGTCTACACAGGATCTTTCTGTACCATTTCTTATAAATGCATGTGAATCTATAATCACCTTTTTAAAAGCAGATATTTTAATAATGCAAATAAATAAATAAAGGCATACTTTCAAATTGGGAGGAGTGAAGATTAAAAGGATAATGAAAGTCCAGCTGTATGATGTTTGGTGTATAAGAGGGGCAAGTAAAGCAAAACAATACAGAAAGACTAAAAATCAACATATGGGCAATAAAGATCTATCTGGTATACACAAAACTGACACAGACGGCAATAGTAATATCAGACAATGTAGACTCGAAGGCAAAAATCATTAAATAAGGCAAAAAAGGACATTTTATATTTCATAAGGTTAAAATCTACTAAGAACAAACTACTACATATAGTAATCTATAAGATGGATTCCATCAAATTCATACTCACTGTAGGAGACAAACATTTTGCTTAGTAATTTGTCAGTTTTGAGAAAATAATAAGGATGTAGTATGTTATGCTGGGTATGTCAAATCAAAACAACAGGGTGATGGCTTATCAAAAATGTCTTAGAAAAATGCCCAGACATTTAGAAAAGTAAATTTAGAATATTATCAGAGCAATCATTTTTTAAAACAAATCTAAATATGTAATACAAAATATCCAATAAAAGAATATATACAAAGAATATTTTAATAACCTTGCAGGGGAAATTCAGAGGCCATACAGAAAAAAGCAGAACTGACAATATACATAGTAAAGATTTCCATGCAGCAAAAGCTCCGAGAAACAGCATTAAAAGAATATACTATAAGAAATACTAGTAAATGATATACCAAGTCATTAATAGCCATTACACGTAAAGATCTATCACAAATCAATAAGGAAAAGGACACTTCCACAGAAAACTAAGCAAACAATATAAACAGGTAAGTAATACAAATGGCTAATAAATATTTACAGATAGTCAACTCTGTCAATAAGCAAAAAAATGCACAATTAAAGCAGTACTAAAATAGTATTTTTCATCCATAAAATTACAAAAATGAAAAAAAAAATGATTGTATCATCTTAGCAGCAATGATTCTGAGACAATTCTTCACCGGTTTTATAAGCAGGGGCACTGAGAGCCTTTGTTCCAGACTATGTTTTTAAGGGTGTTTCTACAGCAAATATCCTCCATAGATAAAGAAAGGTCTCCCTGTGGAGGCGAGGGCAGGTTTGTTCACTATCCAGCATAATAAAGATAATGTCTGGACCTAGGGCAAAGGTTAGGCAGGTTTACTTGCAGCCTATTATGAAAGATACAGATTGCCTAAGCACGGGGTTCCTCTCCTCATCTACTGCATGTGCTAGAATCATCTGGCTCTCATCACGTCACCCAGTGTTAATTAGGGCTCAAGGAAGCAGCACAAGAAGATGATGATCCTCTGACTACTTTTATTTCTGTGCATTATCTCTGACCCCGGAGTCTCATGTCTTCTTCCAGCATCCATGAGATTGTTAACTGCATGTAAAGTAAAATCTCAGCCTTGACCATTCTTGGCAATGAGATGGCAGCAGCACCATTCTCATAAATTGCATAAATTTGTTCTTAAAACACCCTTTTGAAGAGCAACATGGAACAATCTATCAACATTTAAAAATAGCCTTTGAACCAGCAATCCCACATCTAAACATTTACACTAAAGAAATAAACAAATGTGCATATGTACATACAAAAATGATCTCTGTAGTTTTGTTTGTAATAGAAATAAATTTGGAGTTGGCTAAATATCAATAGGGAATTGGTTATATATTAAAATTTGGGGGTTATTCCTACAATGAAATACCCAAAAAGTTTAAAAAGAATGTTATATGCAGTAACATAGATTGTCATCAATTATTACTAACTGGAATTATAATTATACACTGCCATTTATGAAACATGTAGACTTATATACATTTATTTCTAATGTCTGGGAGAAGAACAAATGAATGGTAATAATCTCTAAGGAATGGATTTACTGGCTGATAGACACACAACATATTTACTTTCTCTTTTAGCTATTTCTGTACATATTTTTGACTTTTTAAAAAGTATACATTTATTTTATGATCTCAAAGTTTCTAAGTATCGATTATAGCAACCATTGAAAATTTATTATATTGAAGATGTCCAGTTGAGACGGTTAAATACATATAGACATGGGCTGTTCCAGGGATCACTCTATATCCCTCAGAGTTGCTGAAACTAGGTACATAATGTCCTGAGTCAGAGCTGATGAGGAGAGAAACACAATGCTTATAATGCACAGTGCAAATCAAAA